TTCCAGACCCTGGATTCCTCATCCACGGGTTCCTTGTTCGATGCCCTCACCCTGTGTGAGCGGTTGAGGAGCCGAGGCTCGCCGTGAAACAAAAGGTGGTTGAGGGGTCGAGGCTCGCCGTGGCCCACCCCAGCCAGAATTGATTGGCCTGTTTTCCACCACCACCACCATAAGTTGGAGGGGGAGGGGGTCCTCCTCCTCCTCTTCTTCGTCCTCCTTCTCCTCGTCCTCCTCCTCCTCCCCCCTCCAACTTATGGTGGTGGTGGTGGAAAACACGCCCATCAAGAACGAACAGCAGACCGAAGCCTTCCGTGGCTTCTCCGGCGCTCCCTCCCGGCAGCAGGGCGCCCCCTCGGGCCAGCGCCCCTCCCCAGAGATGCGAGTAGGGGATCGACTACATAATTGATGTGCCCCAGAGTTCGTTGTTTCGGGGGTGGACAGAACCCCCAACAGTGACACGTCGATTAGTGAATTGTCCGTTTTCGGTTCTCGAGAGGGCGCCGTGGCCGTTATTTTCCAGGCTTGCGCCCGCCAGGTTTGGGCCTCAGGTCGTTTTCACTAAACCACGTTTTACTAAAGGGGGGTCTGTCCATCCCCGATTGTTCTTGTCGAATCCACGGGCAGTTCATAGAACTGTCGCAGGTCTACGAATGGTTGGCGTATTTTCGTTCAAGGGTCGACGTGAAAATCGATTCTGGGGTAACAAAAAATGATGTAGTCAATCCCCCAGTCGAGAGATCCGAGGCTTGGATTCTTCCTCAGAGTTATGATGTTCTAACCTATGTTAGCTTTGATCGCCAGAAGTAGTTTCGAGCACCAAGAAAGTACCGAAACTGGAGGGCTTTCACATGTCGGGCCTCGGGAGGCGATACTCGATCGACGGTGTTTCGATATTTGTTTGGGTGTTCGAAATGATGTCTGGGATGTGACCATTAAGTACGATGGGGGCAACATAACCCTAGAAGAAACAAACGCCATACGCATAAACTTTTGGCGTTCTGCGCCAACTGATGTTGTCTATGCCGTTTTTTCTTCTTCCAGAAGTCTTGGGCTCACGCCGCGCCGCCGACTCCCTGGGAAACTGGCGGTTGTGGTGGCTTGCTCCTGAGAGCCTCTTGGGCGCCATTTGGGGTGGCTTTTTGGTGCCCTTTTGGGCGCTTCGTAGGGACCCAACCATATGCAATTGTGAATAACGCTTTGTGGGTGCCGCTTTCGGTGGGGCTCCTTATGGGGCCACGAAAGGCGTGCCACGAAACGCTGTCCTGGGCGTACGGGACGCATGAGGGCGGTAGCACTGGGGCCTTCGGTGGAGCTCCCTATGGGGCCACGAAACGTGTGAGGGGTGTGCCGAAATGGGTGCGGCGCCGCCATGCGAACGCAGCCACTGGGGCCTTCGGTGGAGCTCCCTATGGGGCCACGAAACGTGTGAGGGGTGTGCCGAAATGGGTGCGGCGCCGCCATGTGGACGCGGCCACTGGGGCCTTCGGTGGAGCTCCCTATGGGGCCACGAAACGTGTGAGGGGTGTGCCGAAATGGGTACGGCGCCGCCATGCGAACGCAGCCACTGGGGCCTTCGGTGGAGCTCCCTATGGGGCCACGAAACGTGTGAGGGGTGTGCCGAAATGTGTGCGGCGCCGCCATGCGACGCAGCCACTGGGGCGGCGCCGCTGTTGGAGGGGGCCACGAAACGTGTGAGGGGTGTGCCGAAATGGGTGCGGCGCCGCCATGTGGACGCGGCCACTGGGGCCTTCGGTGGAGCTCCCTATGGGGCCACGAAACGTGTGAGGGGTGTGCCGAAATGGGTACGGCGCCGCCATGCGAACGCAGCCACTGGGGCCTTCGGTGGAGCTCCCTATGGGGCCACGAAACGTGTGAGGGGTGTGCCGAAATGGGTGCGGCGCCGCCATGTGGACGCGCCACTGGGGCCTTCGGTGGAGCTCCCTATGGGGCCACGAAGCGTGTGAGGGGTGTGCCGAATGGGTGCGGCGCCGCCATGTGGACGCGGCCACTGGGGCCTTCGGTGGAGCTCCCTATGGGGCCACGAAACGTGTGAGGGGTGTGCCGAAATGGGTGCGGCGCCGCCATGCGGACGCAGCCACTGGGGCCTTCGGTGGAGCTCCCTATGGGGCCACGAAACGTGTGAGGGGTGTGCCGAAATGGGTGCGGCGCCGCCATGTGGACGCGGCCACTGGGGCCTTCGGTGGAGCTCCCTATGGGGCCACGAAACGTGTGAGGGGTGTGCCGAAATGGGTGCGGCGCCGCCATGTGGACGCGGCCACTGGGGCCTTCGGTGGAGCTCCCTATGGGGCCACGAACGTGTGAGGGGTGTGCCGAATGGGTGCGGCGCCGCCATGTGGACGCGGCCACTGGGGCCTTCGGTGGAGCTCCCTATGGGGCCACGAAACGTGTGAGGGGTGTGCCGAAATGGGTGCGGCGCCGCCATGTGCGACGCGGCCACTGGGGCCTTCGGTGGAGCTCCCTATGGGGCCACGAAGCGTGTGAGGGGTGTGCCGAAATGGGTGCGGCGCCGCCATGTGGACGCGGCCACTGGGGCCTTCGGTGGAGCTCCCTATGGGGCCACGAAACGTGTGAGGGGTGTGCCGAAATGGGTGCGGCGCCGCCATGTGGACGCGGCCACTGGGGCCTTCGGTGGAGCTCCCTATGGGGCCACGAAACGTGTGAGGGGTGTGCCGAAATGGGTGCGGCGCCGCCATGTGGACGCGGCCACTGGGGCCTTCGGTGGAGCTCCCTATGGGGCCACGAAACGTGTGAGGGGTGTGCCGAAATGGGTGCGGCGCCGCCATGTGGACGCGGCCACTGGGGCCTTCGGTGGAGCTCCCTATGGGGCCACGAAACGTGTGAGGGGTGTGCCGAAATGGGTGCGGCGCCGCCATGTGGACGCGGCCACTGGGGCCTTCGGTGGAGCTCCCTATGGGGCCACGAAGCGTGTGAGGGGTGTGCCGAAATGGGTGCGGCGCCGCCATGTGGACGCGGCCACTGGGGCCTTCGGTGGAGCTCCTTATGGGGCCACGAAGCGTGTGAGGAGTGGGAGGAGGGAGGAGGGAGGAGGCGGAGGAGGAGGAAGGAAGGAGAGGAGAGGAGACGCGGGGCAACGTCTCTTCAAAACGAGGACCCAACACCACAGGATGGTTGGGAAACATTGAAAAATGTATGGTAATCTTTTTAGTTGTATGTGTTCATTTTGTGTGTCCTAAGGCCCCTTTAGCCATGGAGCCACGAGGGGTCGGCGAATTCTGTCTGTACGTTGGACGTCTCCAGACATCCTCTGGCAGGATTGTTGTTTAATCCGCGGCTCCAGAGGTCATTCGGGGCCCCCAAACGGGGTGGTGACCACACCGTGCGGTGAGTCGGTGGGGATTTGGGCTCACCGCACGGTTTTGGGACTCGGCTCGTTCTCCGAGGACGTCTCGGGCGACAGGGGCCTCGGGGGTCCCAAAATCGTACGGTGACGGACCGTGCGGTGAGGTCTCTTGGGGTTCCGAGGTCATTGCACGGTCTGTCACCGCACCGCTTCGGAACTCCAAAACAGAGGTCACGACCGCTTGCGCGGGGACAGTTTTCGCCTCGGATTTTTTCTGATGGCTCCAGGGCCCGATAGCCGGTCCTAGAGTCCGAGATCAAAGAAAACACGGCGGGATTGAACAGATCATATCCGTAAGGGCTTCGCCCCCTGCCGCCAGCCCCCTCTCTCGGAGAACGCGCAATGCAAGAGCTATGTCATGAGGCCTGGGCGCTGTCGTGAAGCAGTATCGGAACTTCATGCGAGGCCGACTCGTAATGATCAAAACCAATGGATGACCAGAGGGGTTACCACACCTGGCGATTGGTAAGACGTCGTGACCCTGCCGATCTGCGTGAGGGGTGCCACCGGATTTTAAAACATGGTGCAGGTCCTAATGTTTTTGGACCATGACCCTACTGATCCGCGAGAAGGGTGCCACCGAATTTCAGAAATGTTGAGAATCCCATGGGTTTTCGGACCCTGACCCCGCCGATCTGCTTGAGGGATGCCATCGAATTTCAGAAATGTTGCAAATCCCATGTGTTTTTGAACCCTGACCCCGCCGATATGCGTGAGGGGTGCCACCGGAATTTAGAAACGTGGCAAATCCCTTGTGTGTTTTTGGACCCTGACCCCGCCGATCTCCGTGAGGGGTGCCAACGAATTTCAGAAATGTTGAGAATCCCATTGGTTTTCGGACCCTGACCCCGCCGATCGGCGTGAGGGGTGCCACCGACTGTCAGACATGTGGCAAATCCCATTTTGGACCCTGACCCCGCCGATCTGCATGAGGGGTGCCAGCAAGTTTCAGAAATGTGGCAAATCCCATATGTTTTTGGACCCTGACCCCGCCGATCTGCGGGAGGGGTGCCAGCGAATTTCAGAAATGTGGCAAATCCCTTTTGTTTTTTGGACCCTGACCCCGCCGATCTGTTTGAGGGGTGTAAATTTTTACCTACCCCAGCAATTTCAGAGCACACGCTCAGGGCGTGCTAAGCCTGCCCGTTTGGGTCTCCCCCCTTCGCGCGGTCCATCAACAAGGAACAGCAAGCAGCAAGAAGCAGAACTGTAACAGTGGAAACTGGAAGCTGCAACTGGCTCAGGAAACTGCGAACCTTCGGCCTACAGCCTTGTGGCCCCACAAGGGGGCCGGCGGATTTCTCTACGTACCTCCAGCGTCGCGCTTTTCTTCATCACGCTGACCCCCGCAGGCTTCACATATTTTCCGTGGATGCGCCCGTCATCCCGAGTAGCTCTTCGACGGCGCCGCGGGGCCTATGGGCGAGGACCCACGGAGGCCTGAAGTGACCAAAACAACCCTTGCGTTTTTTTCGCTCCGTTTATTTCGTTTGTGCTTCGTTTGTTTCCTTTGTTTCGTTTGTTGTTTTGTCGTGAGTTGTTCTTGCGACGTTCTTGTCCGCGTTTTCGGCGAGGCGCTCAAAAATACCAAAACCGCCCGGGCCTGCCTGTATTGTGCATGGCGCCCCTCCTCCTCCTCTTCCTCCTCCTCCTGGGTCGCGACGCGTGGAGGTCAGTCGGGGCCTTGATCTCTCCGCGGCGGCTGCGGCCGCGACCGCCTGCGCCTCCCGCTGCAGCCCGCGGCCCAAGAGCCCTCTGCGTCGGCCCGAAGCGGTCGCGCGAGGGCCCGGCGCGAGCGGGGAGCGCGCTGCGGCAGCTCCCACTGGGAGCGCTCCTCGGGCTCGCGGGCTTCTCGCCCTCCTGGGGAGGCGTAGTTCGGGCGGTGCTTGATTTTGTTCGCGACCTCGGGCTCCAGGGGAGGAGGAGGAGGAGGAGGAGGAGGAGGAGGAGGAGGAGGAGGAGGAGGAGGAGGAGGAGGAGGAGGAGGAGGAGGAGAAGAGGAGGAGGAGGAGGAGGAGGAGGAGGAAGAGGAGGTGGAGGAGGAGGAGGAAGAGGAGGAGGAGGAGGAGGAGGAGAGGGAGGACGGGGCGGGGAGGGAGAGCGCTCCTCCTGCATCTTATTTTGTTCGTGGCACCGCCCCACGGGGATCGCGATCCCTTCCCCGGGGCCGGCGGTTCATCCTGAGTCGTTTCTGGACGGCCCCGCGGGGCCAGAAAACTGCTTCCAGATGCGGAACACGTCAAATCATGTCTTTGGGATCTGAGGAATATGAGCCAGACACCCTCCGATCTGAGTTTTTTTCGATCCGCAACCTCAGAGCTTCCGACCCCTTCCCCGGAGGTGGTCGTTCGTTCCGGGATCCATTTTGGCTGGTCTGGGGCCCGATAACGGGCTCCTGAGGCCGAAGTCGAGGATAAACGCCGAGATTGAGAAAGTCATTTCGTTGGAGACAGAGAGAGCCAGACCAGAGTTCGACTTCAAATGCCCCACTGGGGGGCCCTGGAGGGCCGGACGCAGCCAGCTGCAGCTGGGCACGGCCGACCGTTGCCCTTCTCAGGGCCCCCTTCAACCAGGACTTTGCTGACCAGGACTTTCAAAGTTCCACGTATGGAAAACGGAGAATGGAGAACGTTTCGACCCCATGCCCTGGCTCACAAATCCAGACCTCCCAAATGGGATCCGAGTGGATGGAGTCGGATGCTCGCGCCGCATCGCCGATGCATCGCCGATGCAGCTCGATGTGGAGCCCGATGTTCACCACGCCGACGTCCCCGTGCATCGCCGATCATCGCCGATGCATCATCGGCGGTGCGGCCCGATCTTCCGACCACGTTTACTCTTAAGTCGGCGTGTCCCTCTACAGGAGGAATATTGAAAAGTAGTCAAAACAAAAACGGTCGGGGGACGAATATTTGAATAATCCGCCTGTAGGACCGTGGTTGACACTCCCTCTTACAATTGTAGAATTGCGAGGTGTAGTAGTATCGGGGGGGTAGTTTTTGCATGTTGTGGAAGAGTGCCCGAAAGAGTGTCGGCATGAGTGTCTGCACCATTGGTGGGTGCACGCCGAAACCCAACTTGACTGCACGCGTCGTTTGGGAGTGTGCGCCAAAACCAAATTTGAGTGCACGCATCATTTTGGAGTGTACGCCGAAACCTAACTTGAGTGCACGCATGATTTTGGAGTGTCAATCTTGAATGGGTTCTAGTCCGTTTCGTTTGTTCCGTATTTCCGTTGTATTGCACAGGGAACGCGTCAGGGAACGCGATGGAACAAATAACCATTATCGATGATGCGACATGTAATATTACGCATCAAAAAACGCAGCGCGAGCAACTACGACACACAGCTTCCCTCACAACAAGCATGATGCGACAGTAGCTACGCCAATGAGGACACATGTTTGGGCAGTCGGGAAACATTGTTTCGCGCTTCGCGCACCCCGCCAACGCATCCTTACGCGAGTTCTAGGCGAGCTGTCTGGTGGAGGCATTCGTTAATCATATCGCGAAATAAAAAGGCTAGCAAAGATGCGCATGAAACCCTCTCGGGCGTCGTGGGGGTCATCACGGATCAAGGTTGGGTGGCGGCGTTCAAACAGGGGGGCGGGGCGGGCCAGGGCTGCATCGGAAAAAACATGGATGGGATCTACGTTGGGCGCATGCGGGATGATATTGGGTGGTCAGGCGGCTGTTCACTGCCCGCGCGGGTAGCACTTGGGGATTTCTTGGGCTTCCTGGGGCCTTCTTGGAAGCCTCGGATGTTCTCGGAGGGGGGGGGGCATGGAGTATGGCGTCAATCCAATTGGGGGTGGGTGGCATTCCGCCTTGCCCCTTTAGAACACACGCGTGATTCTCGGGGGCACATTGGGCCGCTTCGGGGGCGTCATTGGGCGGTCTCGGGGCCGTCTTGGAGCACTGCATGGAACCACTGTTGGGTTATCCTGGCCAATATCGGGACAATCTTGAAGCACCGAAGCCCGATGTAAGCACGAAGTCGTCACGGCACAAAGTACGTGTTCATCACAACTTCGTTGTGTTAGAGCCTTGTTTGTGAAGAGGTAGCCCCTTGCGTCCTGCCCACTCCCACTCCCGCTATGCTGATGCAGCTACGCGTTGGACTAGATTTGGCCCAATCCGATACCTGTTGCGGGGGCCCGTCTGGGCGCACTCGGGTCTGACGGCGACGATGGTGAGGGCGGGCTCGTGGGGGGGGGTGGGGGGCGGGGGCAGGGCGGGGCATGAGGGAAGGGGGGGGGGTCTTATGGGGGAAAGGGGGGGGGGAGGAGGCGGAGGAGGAGGAGGAGGAGGATGTGGAGGGTGGGTGGGTGGGTGGGTGGGTGGCATTGGGGGCCTCTGGGGGCACTCTTGCGGCCTCCTGGAGGGCTTCCTGGGGGCATATCTTGGAAGCATCTTGGGGGTTGTCTTGTGCCTTCATGTGTTTGGGAAGGGGGGGGCTGCTTCTCGGGTGCATTTTAGGCCGTCTCAGCGCGACTCTGGCCCGTCTGGCGCCGTCGGAAGCCGTCTCGGGGACCTCTCTGGGCCCACGTAGGGTCCTCTTGGGGCTCTTCAGGACGTTCTAGGAGGCCATCTTGTGTGTCTTGGAGGTTACTACCTCGGGCAACCCTCAGCCCCTCTTAACGCTTTTTCGGTAGCCTCTTGGACCGCCAGTTGGGCCATCTTGCAGGGCTGCGACTTTGGGGGGGCGGGGGCAGGGCAGGGCATGAGGGAAGGGGGGGGGTTCTTATGGGGGAAGGGGGGGGGAGGAGGCGGAGGAGGAGGAGGAGGATGTGGATGGTGGGTGGGTGGGTGGGTGGGTGGGTGGCATTGGGGGCCTCTGGGGGCACTCTTGCGGCCTCCTGGAGGGCTTCCTGGGGGCATCTCTTGGAAGCATCTTGGGGGTTGTCTTGTGCCTTCTCGTTTTTTTTGGGGGGGGCTGCTTCTAGGGTGCATCTTAGGCCGTCTCAGCGCGACTCTGGCCCGTCTGGCGCCGTCGGAAGCCGTCTCGGGGACCTCTCTGGGCCCACGTAGGGTCCTCTTGGGGCTCTTCAGGACGTTCTAGGAGGCCATCTTGTGTGTCTTGGAGGTTACTACCTCGGGCAACCCTCAGCCCCTCTTAACGCTTTTTCGGTAGCCTCTTGGACCGCCAGTTGGGCCATCTTGCAGGGCTGCGACTTTGGGGGGGCGGGGGCAGGGCAGGGCATGAGGGAAGGGGGGGGGTTCTTATGGGGGAAGGGGGGGGGAGGAGGCGGAGGAGGAGGAGGAGGATGTGGATGGTGGGTGGGTGGGTGGGTGGGTGGGTGGCATTGGGGGCCTCTGGGGGCACTCTTGCGGCCTCCTGGAGGGCTTCCTGGGGGCATCTCTTGGAAGCATCTTGGGGGTTGTCTTGTGCCTTCTCGTTTTTGGGGAGGGGGGGGCTGCTTCTAGGGTGCATCTTAGGACGTCTCAGCGCGACTCTGGCCCGTCTGGCGCCGTCGGAAGCCGTCTCGGGGACCTCTCTGGGCCCACGTAGGGTCCTCTTGGGGCTCTTCAGGACATTCTAGGAGGCCATCTTGTGTGTCTTGGAGGTTACTACCTCGGGCAACCCTCAGCCCCTCTTCACGCTTTTTCGGTAGCCTCTTGGACCGCCAGTTGGGGCCATCTTGCAGGGCTGCGACTTTGGGGGGGCGTTTGGGTCGTCTGGGGGGCGGCCGGAATGTCGACACCATGTAGACGCCACGGTTTTTCAACCACATACACGCAGTGAAGTCTGCCCCTGGCCTCTTTGGGCTTCCCTGGGTGATCTATTGGAGGCCTCGAGGGTCGCCATGGAGGTCTCATGGGGGCTTCTTGGGCCGTCTTGGGCAATCTCGAAGCTATACTGGGCTGTCTTGGGCGCATCTTGGGCCGCTTGCGACCATCGTAGGTTCTCTTGGGGCCATCGTGGCCGTGTCGGGGGTCATCTTCACAATATTGGGTGCCGCCCAGGGGCAATCGTAGGGGGTGGGCAACTGGCTAATTGCTTTTCGGATCCTTTCGTGTGGCGTCGGGTGCGCCGCGCGTCCCTGCGGCAAGACCAAGGGGGGGTGGGGGCGGGAAGTCGAGCGGCCTTCGACCCATCCCGCCACCGTGCTTGGGCCGTGTTTCGGGGGCCTCTTGGATGCATGTCGGGGTTTCTCGGGGCGCATCTCGGAGGGCCTCTTGGACTGAGTCGTGAAGCCTCGTGGTGGCCTCTCGGATGCTTCTTGGGGGCCCCTTGGGGGCCCCTCGGGGCCTCTTGGGGGCCTCTTGGGGCTTCCTGGGGCGGCCTCGGAGCCTCCTGAGGTGGAGGGGGGGGTGGGGGGGTGGACGGGGTGCGGGGTGTGGTGGGGCGGGGTGGGGGGATTTGAAATGTGCGGGGAGGGGGTGAAGTGGTTCTCGGGGACACTTGTTGGCCGCGTGCCCGAATTGCCCGCTCGCGTTCACTATATTTGGTGGCTTTCTCAGTTGTTTCGGAACCTCTGAAGCCGCACTGGCGGCCCCTTGGGTCGTCTCGAGTCTCCGTGGGGGCCTCTTGGGGGCCTCTTGGGCAATCTATGTGCGATATTGAGTGCCCCCCCATGTCCAGTCTTGCAGCGGCGGCTAGCACAGAAATGCGAGAACGCTACAATCACTCATACCGTTTGCTGACACCAACGATGTGGGTATCTTGGGGCCTTGTGGGGGGTCCTCTTGGAGCTCGCTTGCGATTGCTTGGGCGTCTCTCGGGCTAACGCAAATGGCAACATTGGGTGCCTGTAGTGCTCTGTGACCGACCATGATCGTGTTATGGTATGTAAAAACTGCAGCGTACTGGCTTATGATATTGAGATTCACTTAGTATCACAATCTATGATGAAAAAGCACCACGCCTTGCATTACCATGTGCAGGTTTATTCATAGACCTGTGACGATGTATTCCAGTACTGCACTCTGGTTCTAACGGTTTCTAATGTAAAACCATAAACCAAAATGGGATACAGACAATCATCTTTGATTTGAGGCCTCTCCATGTCGTAACTTCGGGCGCGGCGGTTCGTCGGGGCACGGCGGGGAACGCGGACACTTCTCCGAAAACCCGGGGGGCCGCCGACAACGGGCGGCCACTTTCCCGAAAACCCAGGGGGGGGCCCGACAACAGGATCGTTCCCGACAGGAATCCGTCGGTCACTTTTTTCTCATCGTTTTTGCAACGATTATCCGGGAAACCAGCCAAATTGGAAACAACTTTTTTTGGACACTTTTCGGGTACTTCTCTTGGAATTCCTGATCTATACAGTTGTAGGAGGGGTTGAAAACCACGGCTGTAGGAGGACAAGCCCAACTTGCATCTACTCGGACCGAGTTCGAGAGGCATTTAATCCAACAGGAGTCACCGTTTGCCTTGAGATCTAACGTTGCAACGAAAACCGCAGCATGGCGTCAAATCGCGACTGGAGCTCTCGACCCCCCATTTTTTCTGCTGCACTTTTTCGGCTCGGAGCGATCTGTGGTTGTTCAGGGGCCCGAAGCCCAGCTGAAAAAAAATGTTGCGAACGAGTTGCAACGGCTGGATGTCAGGGTACAGTTAGGGAGGTGAAATAAGGACCACTTTGGGCCCAGGGGGGGCCCGGTCTCTCGGGCCGTTCATTAGATCTGAGTCAGGGAGCAGATTCGCACCCGAGGTTCGCCATGGCCAGGGTAGCTCCTTCTTTCCTTATTTGGCAATCCTTCCCTGGAATCCGACGCCGCAGAATAAAACATCGATGAAAGCACGACCAGAGCCGTACAGTCAATCTGAATAATAAGGATGAGCGGCTTTCCAAGGTTACCCTTGCATCCTTCCCCTTCGGCGCATCCTTGGCCGCTTTGGCTGGCCGCGCCCCGCTCGCAAAGTGTCGGCATGGCCTTCCAGGGGCCTTGCATCTTTATCGTGCGTCCTGACTGTGCAGGATGACTACAGACCACATCGTTCTGCGCCAGTTTTGAAGCCGTATCGACATGTGGTGGTCCAGGGGCCCGACACTTGGCCAGGCGCCCAGCTCAGAATTGAGACGCCAGGATCTCGGGGTTGTGCGAGCACGACGACTGCAGGCGGCCCTCCTGACCATCCTGCGGGGGGGGGGGGGGCCTGGCGCCCGCGAGCCCTGGCCTGTCGCCCTGCCGCCGCGCGCGCCCTTCCCCTCCGACGGGCGGGACGGCCAGCAGGTTCGCGCACCCCCTCTCGGGGGAGGAGGAGGAGGAGGAGGAGGAGGAGGAGGAGGAGGAGGAGGACGAGGACGAGGACGAGGACGAGGACGAGGACGAGGACGAGGACGAGGACGAGGACGAGGATGCAAATAGGCTTCAGAGACGGAAGCGGTATCGATATCGTTGCGGTGGGGTCGAGGTGTAAGATCGGGGTCGGTTCGGGGAAGGGGCCCCGATGTTCTTCGCGTTGGATGGATGTGTTTTGTTCATCCTGGGGAGGTGCCCTTGGATGTTCTGTGTGTGTTTTGGCCTGCGGAGGGTCTCATGCTTTTGATGGCTGCTTTTCTGTCCTCCTTTTCTGTCCATCTACCACCTCCACTGTTCCCAATCACCCATCATCGTCGTCCTCTTCCGTTGCCCTCCTTCCCCCCCTTCCCAAAACTGCTGGCGAGATATCTTGACCCCTTCTGATGTACAATTGCCAGCGAAATATCCTCACCCCCCCTTGATTAAAACATCCCCACCCACCACAGATGAAGCTGCCACCGAAATATCCTCAGTGCCCTGGCTTGAAATTGTCAGCGATCTATCCTCACCTCCTGTGGCGTAAAAGTGCCAGCGAAAGATCCTCACCACCCTGGCGCAACCCTGCCGGCGGAGTGTCCTCAGCCCCCTGGCGTAACTTGCCATTGAAATATCTGCACCCATTTGGCAAAAAAAACACCCCTGGCGTACAACTGCCAACAAAATCTTGCAATAGCGTAACTCCCCTGGCATAATTTTGCCAGCGAGATATTCTCACCCCCCCTGGTGTAAAATTGCCAACGAGATATCCTCACCCCCCCGTCCTAACTTCCATCAAGGTATCCTCAGCCCCTTGGCCTGGAACTGCCAGCGAAATATCCTCACCCCCCCTGGCGTATAACTGCCATCGGGATATTCTCAGCCCCCTGGCCTAACACTTCTGTCAAAGTATCTTCACCCCGCTGGCCTAAAGCTGTCAGCGAAATAGCACCGCTCATGCGGTGCACAACTGCCAACGACATATCCTCATCCACAAGAGACAAACTGCTGTCGAAATATCCTCAGCCTGGCCTGAAACTGCCAGCGAAAGATCCCCACCCCCGTGGCGTACAACTGCCAACGAAATACCCTTACCCCCCCCTGGCGGTAAGATTGTCAGCGAAATATCCTCACGCCCCTGGCGTAAAAGTGCCAGCGCAATATCAGAACTCCCCTGGCATAAATTTGCCTGCGAAATATGGTCAAGCCCCTTGCGCACAACTGCCAACGAAATATCCTCAGCCCCCTGGACTGACACTTCCGTCGAAATAGCTTCCCCCCTTGGCCTAAAATTGCCAGCGACATATCCTCATCCCTCTGACGTAAAAATGCCAGCCAAATATCCTGACCCCCCTGGCGTCACCCCGGCCTAAACCTGCCAGCGAAATATCATATCCTCACTCCCCTGGCGTAAAATTCGGAGTACGATCCCCTCCCTCCCCTGGCGTAAAACTGCCAGCGACATCTCCTCGCCCCCTTGCGTAAAACTGCCTGCTAAATATTCTCCCCCCCTGGCGTCAAACTTGCCAGCGAAATGCTCTCACCCCCCTGGCGTAAAACTGCCACAGCAATATCCTCACCCTCCCTGGCGTAGAACTGCCAGCGAAATGTCCTCAACATCCTGTCGTAAACCTGCCAGCGAAATATTCGGTCACCCCGGCCTAAAAAATGCTCTGCCATATCTTCAGCCTTCGGAGATAAGGTTGCAATCTAACTGCTCGGGTGATTCAGTCAGTTCAGTCCCGCCAGTCAGCCTACGAATCAGGTTACGGGCTGCGCCCGTAAACAACGGCTCCCGCTTGGGACTTCCCCACCTTATCTTCTAGACGCGTTGCGTAACCCAACGAGCCCATTCTGAAACGACGCCCAGGCGAGTTGCCCTGATCAGGGATGTTGAGGAACACGCAGTGGCAAAAAGGGCAGGGTTAGACATCGTGCCCCAAGGGAGCATTGAGGAGGAGTCAGAGGAGGAGCAACAGGAGGAGGAGAAGGAGGAGGATGAGAAGGTGTAGGGAGATGGGGTGGTGGAATGACGAGGAAGGAGGAGAAACAGGCGAATGATGATGAGGAGAAACGGGCGAATGATGATGATGATGATGAGGAGGAGGAGGAGGAGGAGGAGGAGGAGGAGGAGTGCGAGCAGAACGGCCAGAGGCCTCTTGGATGCCTCGGAGTCTCTTCGTTTTTTTTGTCGAGGGTTTCTTGGGGTCCGCTTGGTGCGTCTTGGGCGTCTCCTAGCAGCCCCCTGGGGTCCTCTTGGGGAGGCGTGGGTGCCTCTGGGGGGCCTCTTGGGGCGCACTGGGGCTCTGTTGGAAGCCTCGTGGGGGCATCTTGGGCATCTTAGGAGCGTTTTGAGGCCTCCTGGGCACCCCTTGGGGCCCTCTTAGGGCCCTCTTGGGGCAGCGAGCCTCGGGGGCCATCTTGGGGCCATCTTGGAGAAGATCGATCAAAGGATGGAGGGCTCCTGCATCGCCCCCCCCCCCCCCCAGGCATGTGGCCAAAGCCTTAGTCGAAAAAATGGGTTTGGCCTTCTCGCAGATGCCTCTTGGGCAGTCTTGGGTGACTCTTGGGAGTCTTTCGGGGGCACCTTGGGGGGCCTCTTGGGGGTCTCTTAGCGTCTCCTGGGCACCTCATGGGGCCCTCTTGGGGCACCCTTGGGAGCCTCTTGGGGCCATCTTGGAGGAGATCGATAAAGGGCGGGGGGGGCTCATTAATTAGAGTCTCTCCCGCAAGATCGTAACATCAATGCTGTTGGCCATCTCGGCGAGGCCTCATAGCGGCGTCTTGGGTGCCTCTTGGGGCGTCGTGGGGGTCTCTTCGGAGCCTCTTGGGGGCATGTTGTATGCCTCTCGAGGGCGTCTTGGCGCCTCCTGAGCACCTCTGGTGACATCTTGGAGGAGATCGATCCGAGGAAGGGAACTCCTCAATTACAGTCGGCCCAGATTAGTAGGTCGACCCTGCCAGCCCAAGGGTGCCCTTGTGTCCCGTGCCTCGCGGCGCGTGCCTTCTCACACTCCAATGGCGATGTGGCCTTCGGAAGGGTATTGTGTCCTCTCGCGTGTCCTCTCCAATCAAGGCCGACTGTAGGCCCCCCCAGGAGGCCAGCATGTGGTCGAAACGTCGAGGAAAGAAACACACAGGCACACTTAACCGTCGATTCCCCAGAAACTATGGGAACATATGGGAAGTGGGGGGAAGACGAAAACCCAGAAAATATGGGAACATCTTGGGAATCCTGCTATTTGTGTATATTTATTTGTGTGTCCAAGGGCCCCTTCAATAGTCATGTGGGCTTCCTCGTCGAGGCCTCGTACGCTCCACAACCTGTCGCGGACACCCCCGCCCGGGTCCAGGGGGGAAGGGGGTGGGCCTGGCAACCCTCGGACGTGTGCATTTTTCTTTCGGCGAGGGCAATCTAGGAGCATCCTTGATCATTTGGCAAAACAAAAAAATAAAATAAAAAAAAAAAAAAAAAAAACAAAAAAAAAAAAAAAAAAAAAAAAAAAAAAAAAAAAAAAAACGCACGAAACCGAAACTTGCACGGGAAATGGACGTCCGAGCGGCGGCAAGGGTGGGGGCAAAGTGGAAGAAGGAGGGTTAGAAGGATCAATTCGCTAAACCCCTCACGCCCTGAAGGGCTGGTGGGATTCAGGAACCGTATTCTCGCGTGAGATGTTTTCGCAGCTGCTCAGAATAATCATACTCTCTCCGGGGACTTTCTTACGTGTGTCCCAACCCTCCTGTGGTGGGTTCTCGTTTTGAATAGAGCAGTGTTCGCGTGTGTCCCGCCTCCTCCTCCTCCCCCCTGCTCCTGCTGCTTTGCTTCGCTTCATCGTACCTTTCCTATTCGGGGGCTTCGAACTGCGCAGCTGTCGCCGAGGCACGGCGGAGGTGAAGATCCATTTGAGACCTCGCGGTTCCCTCTTGGGCTGCGAGCTGCGCGATTGTCACATGTTCGTTGGCTCCTGTGAGTCCCAGCGGATGTGAAGGCAGCCTAGATCCAGATGAGACATCGTTGCTCCCTCGGGGGCTGCGAACTGCGCAAGTGTCGCCGCTCCTCGTGGGCTCCTGGGAAGCCCAGCGGACGTGAGGGCAGCCCAGATCCACTCGAGACGGCGCGGCTTCCTCGGGGGCCGCGATCTGCGCCACTGTCGTCACCTGCGTGGGCTCCTGGGAGGGACGGCGGAGGTGAAGGGCGGCCCAGATCCCTATGAGACATCGCTGGTCCCTCGGAAGGCGGACAACTGCGCACGCGCCGCCGCGCCTGGGGGCTCCTGGGAAGCCCAGCGGAGGCGACGGGCAGCGCGGATCCCTCTTGAGGCCCCGCGGCTGCCTCGGGGGGGTGCGAGCTGCGGAACTGCGTCGCCGCGCTTGCGTGGGCTCCCTGGGGGGGGGGGGGGGGGGGGCGGGCAGGGACAGGAAAGCGTGCCGGGCCGCGGGGATCCCTGGGAGACCTCGCGGCTCCCTCGTAGGGCTGCGAGCTGCGCAGTTGTGGTCCCTGCCGTGGGCTCCCGGGAGGCCACGGCCGAGGTGAGCGCAGGCCGGGTCCGCGCGAGGCGCGTCGCTGCTCCCGCGGGGGGCTGCGGGCTGCGCAGGGAGTCGCCGCTCGTCAAGGGCTCCCCGGGGGTGCACGGCGGAGCTGAGGGCGGCGCAGATCCATTCAGGGATGGAGGGCAGCTTGTGTTCAGCATCCGGTTCTCACATGAGTGCCGGGCGCATGCGTCTTCAGAGGGTCCATAGCGGATTCACGGATGGGCGGCGGGTCGTTTTCAAAGTGTGGTTCTCACCTTCGCGCCGGGGCAGTCGTCGTAAATGGTTGCGGCAGTGAGGATGGAGGACGGGGCGTTGTCAAAATGTGGCCTTCGCAGCGCCGCGCACATTCGTTTTGAAAGTTTGCGCAACGGCTTCATGGATGCAGGGCGGTTCCTTCTCAAAATGTGGCTCTCGTCTGAGCGCCGCGTACATTGGATTTGAAATTTACCACAGTTTCAGCGCTCCGTATGGCTGAAGTCAACGGAAAGGTGTTCTGGCACGGTTCATGATTGTCAGGACGCAACAGGCATTTTGGTTCGTGGTAGTGAAGTCCCAGGAATGGTCTGGGCACGATTTCAGGAGTTTCAGAGCGCAACGGTCACGTTGATCCGCGGCGCTGAAGTCCCAGGATTGGCATTTGGGGATTGAGGACTCTCACACGTATGTCTTCCAGTGGGGCACCCTCCGAATGAATAAAAGTTCATGTATGGACGTATGGAGAGGGATCTTGGAGGGAGGGTGTAGTGCAACACATCGTTGCAGCGCTTTGGGTTTACACTGGTCCTTTTCCTCCTCCCTCTGGTCCTCATCCCTCTTCGATCTTCCTTCTCCGTGCACCATTTCGTCCCCCCTCCATCTACCCGAGGAACCTGGAATAGTGGTGATAGCGTCGCGACTTGTTATGTGCTCGTCCTCGAAATAACGGTGAAAGCTACGCGTTTCGGTTTCATGTGTTTCGGGTTCTGCATCGTCTCTTCTGTCGCAACTGCTCTTCATGATCTGCATCGCCACGGGGTCCACTCCGCTCCGATCCCTCCTCCCCTGCTCCTCCCCTGCTCTCCCTCGGCTCCTCCTTCGCTCCCTCCCCCCATCCTTGCTGCAGGCCCTCCCCGCCCTGCCCTCCCAGCCTCCCTGCCTCCCAGCCTCCCGCTCACACCCCAGAGGCAAGCCTGGCCCCCTCCCGGCGACGACAATGCCCCAGGGCGCGCCGGCGCAGATAGGCGAGCGGCTACGACGAGGAGCGGCCGACGCCCCGCCGCTGACGACGACGACGGCCACGACGACCCCGACGACGACGACGACGACGACGACGACGACGACGACGACGACGACGACGACGACGACGACGATGGACGACGAACAGCGAACGACGATCGGCGACAACCGTTGAAGACGACGATGACGACGAACGATGGCGACGAGCGGAGAACGGCGACGACGGCGACGGCGGCGGAGCTGACGACGACGTGACGATCCATGTGTTACACGTCTGCTGCTTTCCCAGGCCTCAGGGAGCCGTCAGACCGGATGGCTCCCATGGGATCCTTCCGCAGGTCCCGCGGCGGCGAAATTCACAGGAACAAAGCAACGAGGGCGAGGGAGGGAGGGCGAGGAGGACAGGACGAGGACGGAGGATTTGCTCCGGCGCTATTCAGCAGTAGGGAGATCAGGGGCAATATTGGGTCAAGGCTCGAGGTATCATGTTCAAGGTTCTCAAGTGTTCTTCGGTTCCCGGCGGCTTTCCAGCCTCGGGGTGCCTTCAGCGGCATCGCCTCGCCGAGAGTGTTCCGGGGTTTGCCCGAAATGTCCCGAACGGCCGCTTGAGGCCCGAGTTCTGACCCGAACGCCACTCGGAAGAGCCCTGGAGGAGGTCCGCGACACCCCCAGACCTTTTAGGGGGGGCTACAAAATGGAAACAGGACCTTTGAATCGAAATGGTCAACTATATCGAAGACGCCTGCGGCGAATCACTGCCGCTCCCTGTCATTTAGAATACGCCCATTTGGCCACACGATTGGGCAAAGTTTGGCCATGCTATTGGGCCATGCGTTCCCCAAGTCGTTCTGGAAGCCCTTCGGGGAACAAGTGGGGAGGAGGAGGAGGAGGAGGAGAAGGAGGAGGAGGAGGAGGAGGAGGAGAGGGAGGAAAAAGGAGGATGAGGAGAAGGATGAGGAGACCTCTTGGGAGCTTCTTGGGTCATTCTTGGAACCTCCTGGGATCTTCCTGGGGGCCTCTCTCGGAGGCCTCTTGGGGGCCTCCTTGGGCCTCTTGGGGGCCTTTGGTGGCTTCTTGGGGGCCTCTTGGGCCGTCTTACGGCGTTCCTGGCCCGTCTGACGCCGTCGGGGATCCGTCTTGAGAGCCTCTTTGGGCCGACTTGGGGCCTTCTTGGGGCGCGTCAGGGTCGTCCTGAAGGCCATCTTGGGCGTCTTGGAGGCCTCGGGCCGTCTTGGGGCCCTGTGGGGGCCGTCTTGGGAGCCTGCATCTTGGGCCGTCCTGCCATCTTGGAGGCCTCATGCGGCGATCGTGAGCCAATCTTGGGGACCTCTTGGGCCGTGTTAGGCTGTCGGAAGGTTGTTTTGAAGCAAATGCTTAAATCCGCCAACAACCTACATGGAAATCAATGTTTCTTGCATCTTCGGGCCTTCCTGGAGGACCTCTTGGACGCCTCTTGGGCTGTCTTGGGGGCCTCTTGGGCGCTTCTTGGGCCGTCTTGGGCTCTGTTGGACCATCGTGGCGGTCTTGGACGCATCTTGGGTCGGTCTGAACGGCCATCTTGGGGCTGTTTTGGGCTCACTTCGGGCCATCTTGCCCGTCTTGAAAGCATTTTGGAGGCCAGCTTGGCCGTCTTGGAGGCGATCGGGCCAATGGAGTTGTGTTTTTTCTCTAGAATTTCCGTGTGGCCGGCGAGATGGGCCGAATCCCCAGTGGGTGTTCTTTAGAAAAGAACCCGCGCCCCAAAACTCTGGCACGCCGTGCACCCCTCTGGCAAGCCACAGGGGGCGAGGGATCGAAGACGCCTACAGCGAATCACCGCCCCCTCCCCCCTGCCATTTAGGATACGCCTATGTGGCTAAACGATTGGGCAAAGTTTGGCCACGCTATTGGGCCATGCGTTCCCCCAGCCAGTGTGGGAGGAGAGGGAGGAGGAGAAGGATGAGCAGACTTCTTGGGTCATGCTTGGGTCATTATTCGGGCCTTCTGATATCTTCCTGGGGACCTCTTGGAGGCCTCTTGGGGGCCTCCTTGGGCCTCTTGGAGGCCTTTGGTGGCTTCTTGGGGGCCTCTTTGGCCGTCTTACGGCGTTGTGGGCCCGTCTGACGCCGTCGGAAGCCGTCTCGGGAGCCTTTCTGGGCCGTCTTGAGGCCATATTTGGAAGTTTCAGGGTCGTCCTGAAGGCCGTCTTGGGCGTCTTGGAGGCCTCTCGGGCCGTCTTAGGGCCCTGTGGGGGCCGTCTTGGGAGCCTGCCTCTTGGGCCGTCCTGGGCCCGTCTTGGAGGTCTCATGCGGCGATCTTGGGGCAGTTTTTGAGGCAATCTTAGAGGCATCCTGAGCCGACGGGAGGCTGCTTTGAAGCAGATGCCCAAATCCTTCAAACCCTCCTGCGTTGGGTCCTCGCTCTGAGTAGAGCATCGTGGTCTCCGCCCTTCTTTCCTTCTGCCCGCCTCCATTCCTCGTCTCCTCTCCTGTCCGCCTGGTGGCTTGCCTGTGTTGGCCTGCGATCTGTGAGACCGTCGCCACTTTCGAAGACTGCTGGGGGGACCAGTACAGTGGATACTCGCCGGCGGAGTCAGATCAGGCCTCGTCATCCCTGGGGGGCTGCGATCTGCGAAACCGTCGCCACTTTCGAGGGTTGCTGGGGGGGCCACCATAGTGAGTACTTGGCGCGGGCTCAGGTGAGACCTCGCCATCCCTGGGGGGCTGCGATCTGCGACACTGTCGCCACTTTCGAAAGCTGCTGGGTCCAGCGCGGCGCTGTCGCGGGCCGCCCGCAGACCTGGCGGCGCGCCTTCGAGCGTGTTGCTCCCGCACTGAAGAGTGCAGGAAGGAAGCAGGGAAGCTGGCGGGCGAGCAAGGCCTCGCTCGCTTCCTTCACTAACCACAGGCAAGTTTAATCATGGTGTCGAGCGCCGCAGCGTCATGGCGCAGGCAGCGCTGCATGTTTAACGTACTACCGGCAAAAGCAACTCTCTCGGTCTCCTCCCGTCACTTTCGTCGTCGTCCTCTGCCCCCTGCCACCTTCCCTCTGCTCACCACCCACCAAACCACCCCAACCCAACCCGAAGGCTCAGATTTACCCTCGATTTCCAGTAGGGGGGGTGTCGGGAAACTTTGAAAAACACGTGTGGAGCCCTTACCCCCCCCAACCCGAAATTCGGGTCTTCGGGTTGGGTTGGGGTGGTCTGGTAGGTAGTCATCTGCTGCTGCCGCGCTGACGGTTCGGCCCCCCGCACGCCCTTGTCCTGCCCTCTGTTCCCGCCGCCATGTCCTCAAGCTTGGGCCTTCTCTCCTCGTCCTTGTGTTGTTGTCCTGTGGATCGCTCCACGTCCTCCTCCTCCTCCTCCTCCTCCTCCTCCTCCTCCTCCTCTCTCCTCCTCCTCCTCCTCCTCCTCCTCCTCCTCCTCCTCCTCCCTCCTCCCTCCTCCTCCTCCTCCTCCTCCTCCTCGTGAGCGCGCCCCATGTAGCTTGCAAGACATATAACGGCGCCTGCGCTGTCATTGTCCTGGCAAGTTTGGGTCCACTCCTCTTGTCACTTGGTGCACATGGGTTGGGTACAACGCAGGGTAGTTTGCATCTTCGGGCCTTCCTGGAGGACCTCTTGGAGACCACTTGGGCCGTCTTAGGGGCCTCTTGGGCGCTTCTTGGGCCGTCTTGGACCATCTCGGCGATCGTGTAGGCGCTTGTTGACCGTCTAGGAGTTCATCTTGAAGTTACCGTGGGCTCTCTTGGGGTCTTGGCCGTTTTGGAGGACACCTCGGCCGTCTTGGAGCCGACGGGGCGAAGTTGCCAGGCATCCGCACGTTTTGCACCCGCGTGGCAAGACCACGGGGGTCGGCGGATCGAAGACATCTACGGCGAATCACCGCCGCCCCCTGCCTTCCAGGGTACGCCTATGTGGCCAAACGTTTGGGCCGTGCTTTCCCCCAGCCGTTATGGAAGCCCTTTCAAAGGGCTTCCATAACGGCTGGGCTTTGGAGAGTATGTGGGCGAGGAAGAGGAGGAAGAGGAGGAAAAGGAAGAGGAGGAGGATGAACAGTATGAGGAGAAGGAGGGCAATGATAATGGAGGAGGAGGAGGAGGAGGAGGAGGAGGAGGAGGAAGAGGGAGGAGGGAGAGGAGGGGGAGGAGCAGGAGGAGGAGGAGGAGGAGACCTCTTGAGAGCTTCTTGGGTCATTCTTGGGGCCTCCTGGGGGCCTTTTGATACCTTCCTGGGGGCCTCTTGGAGGCCTCTTGGGGGCCTTCTTGGACATCTTGGGGGCCTTTGGGTGCTTCTTGGAGCCTTTGGGCCGTCTTACGGCGTTGCTGACCCGTCTGTTTTGGGAGCCTCTCTGGGCCGTCTTCGGACCTAATTGCCTTCTTGGGGCGGCGCTTCACGGTCGTTTTGGAGGCCTCATGGTGCGATCTTGGGGCCCTTTAGGGGCCGTCTTGGGAGCCTTTTGGGCCGTCATGGGGCCATCTTGGAGGCCTCATGCGGAGATCTTGAGGCAATCGTGTGGGCATCTTGGACCGTGCTGGGCCATCGGATGGTTTTTCTGAAGCAAAAATCAGCCAACAGCATACGGAAAGTCAATATTTTTCCCCACATGTTTCGTGGGGTTATGGTTTTCTTCCCTGCCGCGGCGCACCCGTGTTCACCTTTACCTCCTCCTCCCTCCTCCCTTTCTCACACAGCGCAGCGCAGCACAGCGCAGCACAGCACAGCACAGCACAGCACTGCTCAGCACAGCTCAGCACAGCACAGCTCAGGTCAGCTCAGCACAGCACTGCACAGCACAGCTCAGCTCGGCACAGCACAGCTCAGCACAGCAAGGCACGCAGGGCTAGCGCGCAGGGCACGGCAGGCGTGACCGCATCGTATTACACATCACATGTTGGAGAGCGTGGCAGGTTCCACATAGAGGGGCACGTGGCAGGCGCGGCAGTTTCTCGATACCAGACGGGGGTGCGCAAGGGGTGGTCTCTCAACGCGGCCTCTATGCGTGCCAGGGTCGGAGAGCGTGGCAGGCGTTGTACTTTCTCGACA